AGGACTGGACCTTCCATGAAGGGGGCGCACCATGCGCGAAATATGTTAAGTTGGACCTAGATCAATCAGATTTGGAAGGTGGCAGCATGAGAATTTTTCCGTTAGCCGGTACGACTAGATTCCACATGCAGGGGTGGGTGGGCGTGCGCATAGATAATGAACTTGGACCTAGATCGTTTAAGTTTGATAGGGGTACAGCAGACATACGGGAGTGCTCATGGCAGATGACACGACTGAAGATGAAGGAAGAAAGGAATGAACCAAGTCACCTCAACACACATGAGTTGAGCAGGACTTCGCTCATTACGGGCAAGGCGCTCACGAAGTGTGTGTGTGGCCGGAAATTTATAATACCTATCTCCACCGGAGCGTCTAAATTTGGGAGGGATTTGGGCGGCACGTCAACTCCACAAAAAGAGTTATTTATCCATTGACCGCTCCCGCCTTGTTCACGGCACCAGTGGTTGATCGATACAGCACAGGTTGGCCGTGTCTACTTTATTGACTGAATTTTGAAGCGTGTTCATTTCACTTTTACTCCGTTTTTTTGATATATACAGCTGTTTATTCTACGTCGATAGCTTAGTAGTTTCCATTCGGTGGAATTCATTTCGTAGTGTCTTGCTTTCTTCTTTTAAAAATATCAGTTGGGCTACGCACGCTGACGCGTGCACCCTATGCCCACAATCGCTTATTTAAGGTTTGTTAGTGGATTAATAAAACCGCGCCCCAATGACATTTCACAAGCTTCATCGCGCCTACGTGACTTGCGGAGGGACGCACAAATGAACATACAAAGAGGCACACAAACTTACCGCTTTATATTGCATATAGAGAAATTGGTGAGACGGGAAGAGTGCTGGGCATACGCGTCGAAATACATTTAGCAGGTAAAAGGCAAGGAAGCCTACTCACGCCACTTGGGAGGCATCCACTAGAAGAACATCGGGGCAAAGATTTCGATATCAAATGCGAAATCGTAGCCCTCGAGAATGAGATCGGTGCCAGAAATATATTGGAAGCTCTGTACATTTGCGAGAGGAATTCCAAGCTGAACAATCGAAATGAGTGCATTGCCACAACGAGTGAACTTCTGCCATTAATTCCCTTTGTGGGCTTAAACCCGCTTACAAGAGACACAATATATTGAGAAATTTGTGGAGGATGACACGTCTCAAGGCGAAGACTGTGACGACGCGGGCGCTGACGCTGCTTAGGAACCCCGAGCGCCACCGGTTCGTCACTTGTCGCCGCAATAGCGTCGAGCGCCGACGGTTATGCTAAACGCTCTTCCCTCAAAGGCGCATGGCGCTTTGCTCTAAAAGCGCAATACCTGGGTGAGGCAGTAACAGATGCCTACTATACGCATTAATACTCATATAACCTCAATTATAATAAATAGAGAAGGGGACCCAGACAGATTTGTTAGAGGGGGTGTGCGGTATGGGAGCTGCACACTGAGCGTAGATATAGGCGAATCACACGAGAGAGGTCTGGCTACCAGTAAGCAGCTGGTTATATACTCGTCTCATGCAACATCGCGTGATGCGATTGAAGTCAGCTATCTTCTCTGCGTCCGCCAGCGAGTAGCGAGCGTACGTAACCTCCATACCTTACAGAAGGCTCGTCTTCGAACTCTGACGAAACACAACACAAAAGATCAATAGAAAATCTAGGCAAGAGTAAAGTAAAAAAGTTTTCGGGAACGGAGATTATGATTTCATACTTTCGTGGCGTAGATTCTTCATTTGATCCACCGTAGTCAGTTACAAGCCACCTTTTGGGCGCCACATTTAGGTTTTGATCTTATGTTACCACAGTTAGACCACTGTATTTGGCCGGTTCAGCTCCTATATAAACATTTTAACCAGGTTATCATAGTGTTCCGTTTGTATTGACTACTAAATCTTATCCATTGGTTCCACTCCAAATGGCGATCAGCATCGACTACTTCGTGCGGCCAACTTTACCAATCGTTTTCTTGAACGATGGATGCTGACACTGTCCGAGGAATCCTCAGCGCCTAAGTTGTTGCTCAACAGAGGGTGCTACACGCTGGCGTCGAGAGAGGTGCGAAATATTTTCTCAACGAAATATCATCCTCTCTGTCGTAGATGGTCGCCAGTTGTTGTAGATGTCTTCTTGTAGACAGTCGAGGAACACCAGTAGATACGTAGATTTATTGGAAGTAAAATCGGACACGAATGGATTGAACTCATAAAAACCTCTGGGTATTATTCTAACATAGTTACGTACAATGCGCGGGTTTGCACGATCTGTGATAACATGTTTAATTGGTAAGCTCAGTAATACCAACAACACCTCCCCTCTAAGTTGCATCGTATCGGGGCTTCTTAGGATCCAACTGGAGTCGGTGCTGTGGTCGTCGATTGCGTTGCGGTCGTCTTGGTGGATCGGCCGTAGTCGTCCGCGGCGCACGGTCCTTGTTCACACAATCGAAGAGTGGCGGACAGAACACATCTAAAAGAGTGTTTGTAGTGGTGGTTGTGGTTGCGTCGCCTCTAGGTCGTAGTTGGTCCACGTGTCGGGTCCATAGTAGATTTTGAAACTTACGAGGTACAGTTGTCTTTGCAACACGTAGAACGATGACACCCGGAGTCCAAGACTGCTTAGTTCCTCTGTAGTCTTTGGCGGAGACAGTATCGTTGGATTCGAACTTGCGACAGAGTGCTAGCGACGTCTGCTTGGGGTAGCACCAGGTCGAGATCGGTTCGCAGTCGGCGCCCCAGGAAGGCTTTGGCAGGTGAGCGTTGATCCTGTGCAGACGGGCATGGAGTGGAGCGATATGCCATCAGAAACGTCTGTAGAGCGCCAACTGTCGGTTCCTTCCCCTACAATTTGTCGAGTCCTCGTTTGAAGGTATCCACAAAGCGTTCAGCCTGTCCATTGTTCTGTGGATGGAACGGCGGTGTGCGAATGTGTGTGATTCCTCGGGAACGGCAGAACAGGGCGAACTGCGAAGATGTAAACTGCGTCCCGTAGTCCATGGCAAATCTTCAACACTTGGAAAGTAGCTCTAAAAGATATCGTTAACATCTGGGCGACTTCAGGCCATTTGGAATATGCGTCCACAAGTATCAGGTAAAATCGTCCGCTCATGGGTTCTGCAAAGTCAGCGTGCATACGGATCCATGGAGAAGTTGGTTTTGGCCAGAAACATAGTTCGCCTTTGACGGAATCCGCCACTGAAGCGCATTTGTTACAATTGCTGACAAGTTGTTCGATGTCGGTATCCAGTGTTTGCCAGTAGACGTAGCTTCGTGGTAACATCCTCATTCTTGTCTGTTCCGGATGAGCCTTGTGTAGTGTCGTAAGTACACGGCGTTGTAGTGATCCTGGTATCACATGCGAGATGCAGTGAGTAGGCAACCGTCGACAGTCGTCAGAGTATCTCGCTGGTTGTAGTAGTGCCAGAAAGGAGAGTTGCGATTGAATGTGGGCCCATTTCCAGCCTTGCTGTAGTCGATGATTTTCTTTATGACATGATCAGCTCTTGTAGCAGTCCGGATTGTTTTGGCAGAGACCGGAAGGTGACGGCAGTTCTCGATAAGTTCTGTGGTTACATCGACATCTACGTTGGCGATGACGTAGTCCTCCGGCGTTGATTAGTACGACGCTATAATACGTGAGAGAGCGTCCGCTTGTCCTTTGTGTTGACATACTCAATCGCGAAGTTGTAGTTGAGTAACTTTGTGGCCCATCGCTGAAGACGGTTGGCACTGTAGACAGGTATTCCTTTCTTTTTTTCGAAAATTGCAACGAGTGGCTTGTGATCGGTCTTCAGTGTGAAGTGTCGTCCGTGGACAAAGCGATGAAATTTCTGCACAGCGAATACGAGAGCTGGAGCTTCCTTCTCGATCTGGCTGTAGGTTTTTTGTGCTGGAGTAAGGCAACGGCTGGCGTGACAGACGACCTACTCTGATCCGTCGGGGATCGGTGTGATAGTGTTGTTCCAATTCCGTAGTTAGAAGCGTCGGCGGCCACTATGATTGGAATATTCGGATCTAAATGAGTCAGCTATAGATCCGAACTGAGTGTTGCCTTTATCTTGTCGAAGGAAGAGTGGCACTCCGGTGTTCACGTGTGGACAGCATCCTTCGTAAGGGCGTCTGACGGAGCGCGTAGTTGGGCAGATCTCTGGCGAAGTTTCCGTAGAAATCGACGAGTCCGAGAAAGCGCGCTACTGTCTGACTTCTCTTGGAGCTGGCAACTTTTGTATGGCTTTGACCTTGTCGGGGTCAGGGCGTCGTCCTTGCGCTTTGATGAAGAATCCAAAGTTATTGATTTCTGTTTGCGGAAATTCGCACTTCGTTAGACGAACACGGAATCCGTAGTCGCGGATTCGCTGGAGCCCAGCGTCTAGTCGAGTGTTGTGTTCGTCGATGGTCCTTCTAGTGACCAGTATGCCGTCGAGGTAGGCGGCAGTTCCATCTAATCCGGCAATGAGATCATCGATACATTGCTGAAAGATGGCGGGAGCAGGTTTCACTCCAAATGGTAGGCGATTGAAACGAGAGAGTCCTCGGTGCGTGTTGTTCGTCAGCAGCTGTTTTGGATCGTCGTCCACTTCCAATTGCAGGTACGCTTCGGCATGGTTTAGTTGTGAAAAGTAGCGTCCTCCATTGAGTTTCGTGAAAATGTCAAATGGAGTTGGAAGTGGCTGTTGTTGCTGTTCAAGTGCCTCGTTCAGTCCTGTCGAGTAGTCTGCGCAGAGTCGTATTGACCATTTTTCTTCTGAACGGCGACGATTGGAGCGGCCCATTCTGAGTGGTCGATGGGCGTCAGAACTTGTGTAGATACAAGGTGATCGACTTCGGTCGAAATCCTTTAAACAGCGGCATATGGAACAGGGCGAGCCTTCTGGAAAACGGGCTTGGCGTTAGGCTTCAGAGTGAGCTTGGCCTTTGACTTGGTGCAATGTCCTAATCCAGGCTTGAAAACGGTAGAAAACTTTTTTAAGCGCGTAGTGAGTGACGAGTTCAATGCGTTGAGCGTCGATGTGGACACATTACAGATAAGCGACAAAACAGAGGCTCATGCTGGATGATACAGTCGGGACCTAGTGAAGACGGTGTGTCGGCAACGTAGCATTTACCTCGTCCGTGATGACTATCTATGACGAAATTCGTAGCAACCTCGAACATTGGTCGGCTTGTCGTTTTCAGACCTCAGTGTGATTCGAGGGGGTCGTAACGTCGGACGGCCCATAGCAATCCAGTCCGCATTGCCCAATAGTGTGACATCGGCACCGGTGTCAAGCCGCATGCGTATTGTCTTCCCATTGATCTGAAGTGGGTGGTAGATGCGAGATATAAAAGTGTTGCCGGCATGCGTTGAGGCGACGACGACGTTGGCTGTTTTCCGCTTCCGTCTAGGTTTCTGCTTCCTCTTGGTCGTAAATTTCTTGCAGAATCCGGCCTTGTGTCCGGAATTTCCGCAGCCGCGTCAGGTCTTGTCATGAAAAGAACAAACCCTTGACGAGTGACTCGCTCCACTGCGAAAACATGGTGATGGTGGGTCAAGTTTTCGGTTTTAAGAATCCACGGCGTTGATGTGTGAAGAAGCAGACCGCTCGGGGAGAGTGGCATCCCGGCGAATGTTGTGAAATGGGTGGATCTTCGCGACCAATTCCTTTAACGTGGTTTGGGGGTTGTCTTCCATCTTGCGAAGGGCACGGACCCGGATATCAGCATCTTCGGGAGAGGCGAGTCCGCATATCCACACGAGGCATTTCATGGATGTGGCTTGTGAAGCGAGCGTATGTGATGGTGTCGAGCTCGGACACGATTAGTCGAGCTTTTGCAGTTTCATCCAGGGCAGCACCGTCCTTGGTTATGACGTCTTCATAGCGACTGTACCAGACCTCGAAGGTACACCCATTGTCGGGATCGTATACGAATTTAGGTGGACGAGCTGATAGCGAGTTCATCGCGAACTCGGCTGCGTTGGCTGGGGACGCTGGAGCGGTCGAAGGTGAGCCAGACACCATTACTTCCATGCGGTTGACGAGTTCAGTGAACATCTCCTGCTGCATCCTGGCCTGTGCATCTAGGGTAGCCTGCAAACGTTTCACTTTCATTTTGATGTGTGTCTAACCTCCCCGTCGGCTAGATTGGTGGTGCACTAGTCATTATCGTTGTCTGCGTTGAAGCTTCTGCACTGGTCGTTCTCGATGTCCGCGTTGAAGTCCACTGATCGCCAGTTGTTGTAGATGGTCGCCAGTTGTTGTAGATCTCTTCTTGTAGACAGTCGAGGAACACCAGTAGATACGTAGATTCATTGGAAGTAGAACTGGACGCGAATGAATTGAGATTTGTGGTTTAGCCGTATCCGAATACGCCAACATCCGTAAGCACGCTTTACGCATTCTGGAGAATAGTCTAGAAACTATACTGCGGCAGTCCAACCCGGGACTCTAGCAGCCTATAGACATCTGACATTACGCCAAGCTTCCGTGCACTCCTTCAGCAGCTGCACCCCTTCTGGAACCAAGGCAAGTCAAGACAGGCAAGCAAAGAACCTTTCCACCATACTTCCGTTGTAGGTGACCACCCTTCGGCGAAAGAGTGGGACTTCATAAAAAAAAAGTTGTTTCGCATGCGATCGTGTTTCACAAGAAGGGTTTCCACTAGAATTCCACTAGAGAGAAATCTTCGAACCTGAAGAGGAAGCAAAAAACAACCAAGTCGTTATCGCCACTTCCACCACCATCGAACACATACAGTAGCGCTCAAAAGTCTTCGATGAAATGCTTCTTCAGTCATACTTCTCAGTCGTAACTCCTTTCCTACTGGATCTAATCATGCGAAATTACTATATTTGGAGCGTGGGTGTATTGTGAATATTTACCACTATTAACTTGCAATCTGATCATGTTTTAGGTATTCCAAAGGGCATGAACTCAAAATCGACTGGAAATATAGATGATTATCCTTCTAGAACCTCTTTCCTTTTTGTCATGTCTAAAGTATACGAGCGGTAATGCCGAACACAATAGATGAGAAAGACGCACATAAGGTGCGAATAAGTGCAAACGTCAACAACTTTAGTTTTAGCAAGATCTGCTACCGCAACAAACACCTTGCTCTATCTGTGGATATTGCACCTTCGCAGTCAAATAGTGCTGGGTAGGGTGAAATATGCTCTAGTTAACCATATCCAAATTTCGCGCGATTTGGTCTACTAGGAAAACAATTATGAACAAAAAAGCGTCAAAGCGTTTCACCGGACACTCTTGAGCGCTACTGTACATACTGGACTTTGGAGGCTAACTCACTGCATATCGCGTGATGCACATGGTGCAGCACGCCCCTTCGCCTCTGCCTCCCGCGTTTTGGTCCGGACTCACTTTACAGTTTGAATAAATTTCGAACGAAATATACTTTGCGATTCCTTCAAAAAACCGCTCTGTGTGGCCGGGTGCTGTACGCCGCGAGTCACGTCGGTGCGTCGATTCTGAAGAAAACGTCGGACACATGCACGTCACACGTATGCACCCCGACCCCGGCTGCCAACGGCATGCTACCAAATCACGAGGATTGTTCGTTATAGGGCCCAAAATTCGCAGTTACCGATCTAAAGGCCGAATGCAATGAACAACATGAAAACCATTGTTCGCGGTCATTTCAAGAGCGCATTCGCCATCGATGGACTCCGAGAGAGAAACCTGTTGTGGCCGGCACTACTTCGGTGGGATCAAGAGGTTCCAGATCGTTCCGCATAGCACCCCCCTCTTTTACGATGGCTTGCGTTGGAATCTGTGCCATAAGAGCGATATTGCTTATTTTTGTCAAGAAAAGTATAAAAATTGATCAGAACATCTTCATGAGGGACATTTCCGAGGTGATGCTTAAGGTCAAAGGTTATTCCAGAAACACGGTTAGGAAACACTCTTTACTTGCTCACGAATGGAAAAAGATCAAGTCTGGCGCTAAGGTGTTGTACGCAATTTCATCCCTGCTTCCAGCCGGCTTATGAATTTCCTGGGCCCAATTCAATGTGTCGATGAGTATAGTCTACTCAAAAGGAAAGCTTGCACTTCAAAGCACACCACTGTTGTTGCTCCTAAAAAATCTTTGAAGAGAGACCGGATTGGAGTTTTTCAAGAATCTTTGCGTGCCACCGTCAATTGGTAGCCGAAGGGTCTTGGGCTTCCATTAGTACAGAAGACGGTTATATCAACTGACCGAGTTTCATTTGCTGATGCCGTGAGTTGTAAATTCACGTGAGTCCACCGTGCATCAAAATGAAGTGCGGTTTCTGCACGACAATTGCTTTGTCACCATATTTATGGCGCATATGTATAACACGCTAAGGATGTGTTCGAGTGTGTGTGTGTGTGTCTTTTGAATGTGTGTGCGTTCGAGTGTGTGTGTTTGTATATGTGTGTGTGTGTGTTCGAGTGTGTGTGTTTGAATGTGTGTTTGAGTATGTGTGTGTGTGCTTGAATGTCTGTGTGTTGGGTGTGTTTGAGCATACGTGTGCCACAATGCCACAAACCCACTCTCGGTGGGCAGAATGTCCTCACAGTAGGTAACACTTTCTGTATTAGTTCATAAAACGATTAAAAGCCTGAAGGCCTGAAGAAAGTAGAAAGAATGAGTATGTGTGTGGATATCCGACATGTGCGGAGAATCCGAACTCGTAGCGAAATTCCGCCCACGATGGGCAGGGCTTTCATTTGAATGTAAAACACTTTCTGTAAGAAAAATTTTTAAGAACTAGAATTCAAGAATTAAGAATTTCTGTTCAAAAAAAAATTCAGAACGTGGGAGAAATTGGTCAGAGTTTATAGAAGGGAGGTGGTCAAGTCGTCAAAAACTGGGCGAAGTTTGCGAAGGGGTGGGCGGCGTTAAAGTCAAAATTTCATAATTCTGTCCAAATACGTCCTAGAACCTGTTACATTACATTATTGTATTATATTACTGTCATCACTATGTGCAAAACGGCATGCTAGTAATTCTCGTATGGGTCTACTGGGAATATGTTGGAAGTTCTCCGTCCCGTCTCTCAGACCTTGCGCCTTGCAGCAAAATGGTGAAATCCCAAGAAACAAGAAAAAGCCATGCACTTTTTGTTTTTCTGTAAGAGTATTTAAAAAGACCTATTTTCTATGGTCGAGAAGTGTGAGCAGCTCTTTTTCACCCACAAAACATAACTGAAACATCCTGAATGCGCAGTACTCACCAAGATCCTGTTCCAGTGTGCACCGTGAGTCTCTTTTGAACAGGCTAATACCATAAAGGAATCTGTTTCACTTCTGCTTGGCTCTATAATCTTTGGCCTCCACATTTCGTTAATTTCTTGTTTTCCAAATTTCGTTAATCTGCGTTCGAATATTTGTCGTTTCTTTGATGGTTTGCGACAAATCACTTGTTTTGATATTTTCGAGTGTGGTATGAGAATGATACTGTGAGTGATACTGCCGAACCCAACCATCGTCCCTACGGAGCATTTGCTGTAATTCTTGAAAATAGACCTAAATCGTTGGAGTTGGCCTGCTTCCAAAACAATAAGGTTTCTTATGGTGCGATCGATCATAAAAGGATGCAAGTTGTGAAATATGTGAAGAATGAAATTGTTTTCAAAATCTGATTCTGGTGGGATGAATCCTGCTATGTCAGAAGACGAAGTGTTATTGTCAGAGGTAACAGAAAAGACTGGTTGCCATAGTGCATTCATTCCTACTACTGTTGCGGTCACTATCTTAATGTTTTATGATAAAACCAGTGATGCCGCTTTGTGGGTATTGATCTCTTGACACTAATAGGTGGTCGTGGGATTGTTTCCATTCTGACCTTCTCGAGTTCCTAGAGGTTTGATTGTCCTGGGGCGGGTTCTGATTTTTGGTCTTTAAAATCATAAATTGACTTGATATTAATCAACGGACCAATATAAAGAACATCGGTTGACTTTCCATTTCATACCAGTTTCTCACCGCGCTCTTGTGATCTTCACGCTCTTGATCGTGCCTACGTGACTTTCGGGAGGACACACAGACGGGCATACAAACAGACACGCAAAGTTAGCGCTATATATATAGAGAGGATGAGGTTAGGATTTGAGTGGGATATTCTTGCCACAACCGCTTCTTGGATATCAGGCAGTTGGTTCGGTATGTTACCAACATGGACTCCATCACGCAAATTGTGTGTGGAACCATCAGAAGTTAAGGTTTCCCATTGTTGAAGAAATGAGGTTTTAGATATTGCGCAGTTGTCAAGTCAAATAATTCGGTATATGATCAAAGTGTGGTTCTGATCCGAAGAAGTACTGCTTTAAGGGGCTATTGTTATTTGTGTCGTTGTACTCTTTGATGTTAACTAACATATAACATAGAATATTATTTTGCTGATAATTGATTTATAGATTGTGTGCAAATTCAGATATAACGTTATAACCGGGAAAGAACAGAGAATAACAAGCTGCGTTTGAAGCAACGGGGGTATGCATACATCCCAGGGTGAGGGAAGGGAGAATCATCCCAAGGAAATGACTGCAAAAGGCGCGAATGATCAAACGGCTTTTTGTTTTGTCATGGTTC